GTCCACAGGAAGTATGCAGTTTCGTATAGAAATGAAAAAAAATCAGGTTGGCAGTGTTTATTTGGGGCCAGATTCAATCCAACTTCTCAGCTTCTGATTACCCTATTTCATCTACTCCTCCTAAGTCAATCCTCATTTTAAAATGCAAATTTCTTTACTCTATCATAGAGTAGGAACAGTCAAGCTTTTTGTTTCTGTTACTTATGAAAACATACATTCAGTGGGACTACAAAAGAAATCCATAACAAATGGGATAAAATTTTTGTAGCATTAGCAAGTACACTTCAAATGCAAGCAACCAAATAGTTGCATGAACTGCACATCAATAGATTTGTTCACTGTAAAATGTCAATTACTTACCAGAGCCCAACAATTTGGAAGACAATCAAATCCTCCACTTGGCCCTTTGTCCCCCCAAAGATGGACAGTGTATGTTGAACTATCTATAAAGGCAGATTGTGTCAGATAACATGATATAATGCTATATTTTGCTAGCTCCTTCCTCCTGGACACCTCAATGCACTTTAGATTTTAATTAAACTAGTAACCTACATTACAGGTGTTAGTGAAGTATTAGACATAGAATAATGGACATACCAGTTCACACCAGTTGTCCATGTTGACTTTCTATCTAATCTCTTACTGTGGCTAGCAGCCACAGACAACATGTTTAGGAGAAAGACTCAAGGAACCCCACAATGGACAATTACCTAACATGTCAATGATAATTATAGGTTAGTTTATTCCATGAAATACAAGTGTGCATATCCCTTATGGTTTTTTAAACATTTTATGTAACTGTGAAGATTCTCCTTATTCAAATAAGTGTCTAGTCCTGATATTATGGAGTTCTTGGCCTCAAAGATATCTTCTTTACAAAAGCTGAAACACTGAAATTAAGAAACTTGCTGGAAGACAGTCTGTAACAGAGCTGAGAATAAAAGCAGATAGAAGAAAAGAATAAAACCCAGATCTACTGACTTCTATTCCTGCAGCTTAGCCACTAGATCTACAGACCAGAGGTTATCAAACTGTTGGCCTATAGCAGTGACTCTCAATCTTTCCAGATTACTTTAGCCCTTCAAGAGGCTGATTTGTCTTGTGTACCCCCAAGTTTCACCTCACTTAAAAACTTACAAAATCAGACATAAAAATACAGAAGTGTCACAGTACACTATTACTGAAAAATTGCTTACTTTCTCACTTTTACCATATAATTATAAAATAAATCAATCGGAATATAAATATTGTATTTTAATATGTACTGACTTCGCTATTCCTTTTTATGTAGCCTGTTGTAAAACAAGACAAATATCTAGATGAGTTGATGTACCCACTGGAAAACCTTTAGGTACTGCCCCCCCCCCCCCCCCCCAGGGATACGCATAGACCTGGTTGAGAACCACAGGCCTTGTTTGTGGTGTATATGTAGAGTAGTTCACATGGTGCTGGCTCCTCCTTGTTTCCAACTGCTCGGTATGTTTTTGGATGGGAAAAGTAGCAAGCTCCTTCCTCCTGGACACCTCAATGCACTTTAGATATTACCTGGAGAAGTGGGCAACAAAATAGCATATGACAGCCACCGTTGATAAGTGCCAATTAATGTATACTGATAAATATAATCCTCACTATACATACAAAATGATGGGGTCTAAATTAGCTACCACTCAAGAAAGCTCTTGAAGAGATCATGGATAACTCTCTGAAAACATCTGTTCGATGCGCAGCGGCAATCAAAAAGGCTAACAGAATTTTAGGAACCATTAGGAATGGCATAATTAATAAAAGACAGAAAATATAATGCCACTATAAAAATCCATGGTACACCCACATCTTGAATATTTCGGTTCTAGTCCCACCATATAAAAAAAGATATATTAGAATTGGAAAAGGTATGGAGAAGGGCAACAAAAGTTACAGATATGGGTCAGCTTCCATATGAGAAGGCATTAAAATGATTGGGACTGTTCATCTTAGACAAGACAACTAAGGAGGATCTATGCTGCAGGTCTATCATGAATGGTGCAGAGAAAGTGAATAGGAAAGCTTTATTTACCCCTTCACATAACACAAGAACCATGGGACAGTCAATGAAATTATTAGGCAACAGATTTAAAACAAACAAACAATTACTTCTTCACACAACCTGTGCAATTCAACCTGTGGAATTCATTGCCGGGGATGCTGTGAAGGCCAAAAGTATAACTGGGTTCAAAAAAGCATCAGTAAGTTCATGGAGGATAAGTCCATCAATGGCTATTAGTCCTGGTGGTCAGAGATGCAACTCCATGACCTTGATGTCCCTAAACTTCTAACTGCCAGAAGCTGGGACTGGACAGCAAGGGGTGGATCACTCACTTGCCCTGTTCTGTTAATTTTCTCTTCTGGCACTGGCCACTGTCAGAGGACAAGATACTGGACCAGGTCTATAGTCCATCTAGCCCAGTATGGCCATTCATGTATCTCAATTCCATGCTGTACTGTTTGAAGACTTACCTGTAAAACTCTTTGAAATGGGAAACTCCGATTTCCAACTAAACAGTTATTTTAACGTACTAAATTAATTAATAAGTGGGGCTGAATGAAAACACTCCTTGGGCCAGATTTGTTTAACCTCTTAATGTTAGAGGGTTCTAGATTCATCACTGAAGTTTATATGACATTTCCCAGAGAGATGAATTTTAAACCACTTAGATATATCTTGAGCTTACAGAATACGTTCTTACAGAAACCTTGGCCAACTCTATCCTTGTCCTAACAAATTACCATATACACCTGATGCTAAGACCTCTTTGTAAATATTGATACAGAAATGTTTTGTTTGCTACACAGTAGTGTGTGTCTCCCCAATTCAATAGAGTTTAATAAAGTACAATTGAAAAAGCTGAACATATGACACCAATAGTCAGCACTTGCTGGCAAGGGCTTTGGGTTAACAGGAAGAACAGACTCGGGTGATGTTAATACTGAGAGTAGGGCATAGGAGACTTAGGATAAAAATGGTATTATGGCATTTTCTTCAACGTTTGTATTTTTTCTAGTAAATATACTGTTCATTTGGTGCTAACTAACCAATCTGAAATGATCTAGCTGAACTAGTGGGAAATCTAGGGTAGAAAAGCGGACATGTTTTTAATCACCATTTCAATTAGATTTGTTTTTCAGTAGCGTTTGCTAAAAAGGGGGGCTAGTCATGGAAACTTTCTCTATGCTATAGTTCTCCAGTCCCAACACTAGCTCAAATGAACTAGTGATATTTCCCCCTCCCTAGTAAGTTATTTTGTGTAGACATTGCCCAATACAGGCTTGGATAAATCATTTAGGGTTAGACGGATTATTTTACCACTGCACAATGAGCTGGGCCATTGTAATCAGTGAATACTTATGGAAGAGCAAGTGGATCATGATCTGGCAACGGAATGATGTGTTACTCTGGCCCTTTCCCTCTATGTAGAGTAAACAACTGAAGAAGTCTAATAATAATTTTTCATATTATATTCTACATTGAGAGGCTTACTTAAGGTTTACAATATTTTTAGACATCTTTGGATAAATACATACATATGACCTTTGACAAATAATGTTTCTTATATTAAAAATAGTTCAATTTCAAAAGCTGCTGCCCCATGAGAAACTTTACAAAGTATTTTGTTTGGGACATATATGATATTCACACACTATTTCCCCTCCATCCTTTAATATGAACATTCACATGAAAAACAGTTCTTTGCTTCAAATAGCTCATCTGTTCCTGCTGCTTAATTCCCACCCAAAGTCATAATGCTCTTTTTGTGACATCATAACTACCTCCAAAGTAGCCAATTATGATAGCTCAAACAGAAGATTATGATTTCAAGTCAGGATTAAGCAGCAGACATCAAACTCTTAGGCAGCAAAGATCCTGTTTTCATGCAAATGGACTGGTTATTAAAGGAATTAAAAGAGGTACTAAAATATGATACGCCATATAAACAGGGCTTGAAGTAGATACAGAACAGTGCCAGGGGTGGCATTGCCCATTAGAGGAATTTCTTTAGTTTGTGGAAAACTTTTAGGGCTTTAGCTTGTCTATATACATTTGTAATACCCCCTAACAATTCACTTAAGGCATTTTTGCTTTAGCCAGATCTGTGACATCTTGTGACCAAGACCAATTTAAACGTTGGGTATGAAAATCTTCCAAACATTTATCCATGAAGTACCTTTGGTCCTTAATTATATTGTATCCTATCTTATGTAGGAGGTCACGCTAGGCAACTGGTTCTGAACATTTCCCATACTGTGGACCCATGTTGTTGCAAGCGAGAGAGAGAAAAGTTTCAGATCCACTCTCTCATTTAACCATAGGGAATGGAAGTTGGTTTTGACCCGCTAGAACCTGCATGATGAGAATTCATGGCCTAGATTATTTTAGTTGGCCCTTTGGTCTGAAGAAGAAAAAAAATCTACTGAACCCATTAAAGTTATCAGAAATATATAAATACATAAAAAGGTGAGCAGCTGAAGAACCTGAAAGAACCTAAACAATGGAATACTTAGAGTAATGGAAATATGAAGACACTCTATTCACCCATAACACTTCAGAAGATGACACAGTGGGATACCAGAAAGGTAGGATTACTTTCTCCAACTCAAGAGAACGCTGAATGATATCTATTTTTTTATTTGCTGATTTTTACTGATAAAATCCTCCCCTTCTACTCTGTTATGACTGTGTGTGTCCTTCCCACACCCAAGGACTTTTTACAGCAGCACCTGTGCACAGAGATCTTATACCTGGCAACATCCTTCCACCCAATGGAAAAATGCTCATTGATTTTAATGGGAGAAGGATAAGGGCCATGATGCAATGAATTATTTTAGTTAAAAGTGAAAGGACAACTCATTTCATCCATACATAAAAACTGGACAAGAATATTTTCATACAAATTTGGCTTTATGACAAAAGCCATACAAATTCTTGCAACTGCCTCAGCCCTGGTCTACACTAGGACTTTAGGTCGAATTTAGCAGCGTTAAATCGATTTAAACCTGCACCCGTCCACACAATGAAGCCCTTTATTTCGACTTAAAGGGCTCTTAAAATCGATTTCCTTACTCCACCCCTGACAAGTGGATTAGCGCTGAAATCGACGTTGCTGGCTCGAATTTGGGGTACTGTGGACACAATTCGATGGTATTGGCCTCTGGGAGCTATCCCAGAGTGCTCCATTCTGACCGCTCTGGACAGCGCTCTCAACTCAGATGCACTGGCCAGGTAGACAGGAAAAGAACCGCGAACTTTTGAATCTCATTTCCTGTTTGGCCAGCGTGGCAAGCTGCAGGTGACCATGCAGAGCTCATCAGCACAGGTGACCATGATGGAGTCCCAGAATCGCAAAAGAGCTCCAGCATGGACCGAACGGGAGGTACGGGATCTGATCGCTGTTTGGGGAGAGGAATCCGTGCTATCAGAACTCCGTTTCAGTTTTCGAAATGCCAAAACCTTTCTGAAAATCTCCCAGGGCATGAAGGACAGAGGCCATAACAGGGACACGAAGCAGTGCCGCGTGAAACTGAAGGAGATGAGGCAAGCCTACCAGAAAACCAGAGAGGCGAACAGCCGCTCTGGGTCAGAGCCCCAAAATTGCCGCTTCTATGATGAGCTGCATGCCATTTTAGGGGGTTCAGCCACCACTACCCCAGCCGTGTTGTTTGACTCCTTCAATGGAGATGGAGGCAATACGGAAGTAGGTTTTGGGGATGAAGAAGATGATGAGGAGGAGGAGGTTGTAGATAGCTCACAGCAAGCAAGCGGAGAAACCAGTTTTCCCGACAGCCAGGAACTGTTTCTCACCCTAGACCTGGAGCCAGCACCCCCCGAACCCACCCAAGGCTGCCTCCTGGACCCAGCAGGCGGAGAAGGGACCTCTGGTGAGTGTACCTTTTAAAATGCTATACATGGTTTAAAAGCAAGCATGTGAAAGGATTACTTTGCCCTGGCATTTGCAGTTCTCCTAGATGTAGTCCTAAAGCCTTTGCAAAAGGTTTCTGGGGAGGGCAGCCTTATTTCGTCCTTCATGGTAGGACACTTTACCACTCCAGGCCAGTAACACGTACTCGGGAATCACTGTAGAACAAAGCATTGCAGTGTATGTTTGCTGGCATTCAACCAAAATCCGTTCTTTATCTCTCTGTGTTATCCTCAGGAGAGTGAGATATAATTCATGGTCACCTGGTTGAAATAGAGTGCTTTTCTTCAGGGGACACTCAGAGGAGCCCATTCCTGTTGGGCTGTTTGCCTGTGGCTAAACAGAAATGTTCCCCGCTGTTAGCCACAGGGGGGGAGAAGGTTGAGGGGGTAGTCACGCGGTGGGAGGAGGCAAAATGCGACCTTGTAACGAAAGCACGTGTGCTATGTATGTAATGTTAACAGCAAGGTTTACCCTGAAAGAGTGTAGCGACTGTTTTATAAAATGTGTCTTTTTAAATACCGCTGTCCCTTTTTTTTTCTCCACCAGCTGCATGTGTTTCAATGATCACAGGATCTTCTCCTTCCCAGAGGCTAGTGAAGCTTAGAAAGAAAAAAAAATGCACTCGCGATGAAATGTTCTCCGAGCTCATGCTGTCCTCCCACACTGACAGAGCACAGACGAATGCGTGGAGGCAAATAATGTCAGAGTGCAGGAAAGCACAAAATGACCGGGAGGAGAGGTGGAGGGCTGAAGAGAGTAAGTGGTGGGCTGAAGACAGGGCTGAAGCTCAAATGTGGCGGCAGCGTTTTGAGAGGAGGCAGGATTCAATGCTGAGGCTGCTGCAGGACCAAACCAGTATGCTCCAGTGTATGGTTGAGCTGCAGCAAAGGCAGCTGGAGCACAGACTGCCACTGCTGCCCCTCTGTAACCAAACGCCCTCCTCCCCAAGTTCCATAGTCTCCACACCCAGACGCCCAAGAACGCGGTGGGGGGGCCTCCGGCCAACCAGCCACTCCACCACAGAGGATTGCCCAAAAAAAAGAAGGCTGTCATTCAATAAATTTTAAAGTTGTAAACTTTTAAAGTGCTGTGCTTAAAGTGCTGTGTGGCATTTTCCTTCCCTCCTCCACCACCCCTCCTGGGATACCTTGGTAGTCATCTCCCTGTTTGTGTGATGAATGAATAACGAATGCATGACTGTGAAGCAGCAATGACTTTATTGCCTCTGCAAGCAATGATTAAAGGGAGGAGGGGCGGGTGGTTAGCTTACAGGGAAGTAGAGTGAACCAAGGGGCGGGGGGTTTCATCAAGGAGAAACAAACAGAACTTTCACACCATAGCCTGGCCAGTCATGAAACTGGTTTTCAAAGCTTCTCTGATGCGTACCGCACCCTCCTGTGCTCTTCTAACCGCCCTGGTGTCTGGCTGCGCGTAACCAGCAGCTAGGCGATTTGCCTCTACCTCCCACCCCACCATAAACGTCTCCCCCTTACTCTCACAGATATTGTGGAGCACACAGCAAGCAGTAATAACAGTGGGAATATTGGTTTCCCTGAGGTCTAAGCGAGTCAGTAAACTGCGCCAGCGCGCCTTTAAACGTCCAAACGCACATTCTACCACCATTCTGCACTTGCTCAGCCTGTAGTTGAACAGCTCCTGACTACTGTCCAGGCTGCCTGTGTACGGCTTCATGAGCCATGGCATTAAGGGGTAGGCTGGGTCCCCAAGGATACATATAGGCATTTCAACATCCCCAACAGTTATTTTCTGGTCTGGGAATAAAGTCCCTTCCTGCAGCTTTTGAAACAGACCAGAGTTCCTGAAGATGCGAGCATCATGCATCTTTCCCGGCCATCCCACGTTGATGTTGGTGAAACGTCCCTTGTGATCCACCAGAGCTTGCAGCACTATCGAAAAGTACCCCTTGCGGTTTATGTACTCGGCGGCTTGGTGCTCCGGTGCCAAGATAGGGATATGGGTTCCGTCTATAGCCCCACCACAGTTAGGGAATCCCATTGCAGCAAAGCCATCCACTATGACCTGCACATTTCCCAGGGTCACTACCCTTGATATCAGCAGATCTTTGATTGCGTGGGCTACTTGCATCACAGCAGCCCCCACAGTAGATTTGCCCACTCCAAATTGATTCCCAACTGACCGGTAGCTGTCTGGCGTTGCAAGCTTCCACAGGGCTATCGCCACTCGCTTCTCAACTGTGAGGGCTGCTCTCATCTTGGTATTCATGCGCTTCAGGGCAGGGGAAAGCAAGTCACAAAGTTCCATGAAAGTGCCCCTACGCATGCGAAAGTTTCGCAGCCACTGGGAATCGTCCCAGACCTGCAACACTATGCGGTCCCACCAGTCTGTGCTTGTTTCCCGAGCCCAGAATCGGCGTTCCACAGCATGAACCTGCCCCATTAGCACCATGATGCATGCATTGTCAGGGCCCATGCTTTCAGAGAAATCTGTGTCCATGTCCTGATCACTCACGGGACCGCGCTGACGTCGCCTCCTCGCCCGGTATCGCGTTGCCATGTTCTGGTGCTGCATATACTGCTGGATAATGCGTGTGGTGGTTAATGTGCTCCTAATTGCCAAAGTGAGCTGAGCGGCCTCCATGCTTGCCTTGGTATGGCGTCCGCACAGAAAAACGGCGCGGAACGATTGTCTGCCGTTGCTCTGACGGAGGGAGGGGCGACTGACGACACGGCTTACAGGGTTGGCTTCAGGGAGCTAAAATCAACAAAGGGTGTGCCTGTACATCAAGGAGTATTTCAGGCAGGACTGCACAGAGGGTTCCAATAAGAAATGGTGCACCTAAGTTATCGTTGTTATTGGAACAAGGAGGTTAGCCTGGCCTCTGATTGATACATGGCTAGATTTACCTCGCTGCACCTTCTCTGTGAGTGACTGCAGTGTGATCTAGACAGGGGAGGAGGCAAATGAGTACAAAACAAATCTGGTCTATTTCTTGTTCTGACCCACTCCATCTATCTTTTACATCTTTGGCTGGCAGCAGACGGTGCAGAAGGACTGCATGCCATCCACATCTCATGGCTGCTCGGCAGAAGATGGTACAGTACGACTGCTAGCCATCTTCATCTCTTGCCTGCCTGGCATAAGATGGTACAATACGACTGCTAGCAATCCTCATCTCTTGCCTGCCTGGCAGAAGATGGTACAGTACGACTGCTAGCAGTCCGTATCGCCTGCCCGCTCACCATAAGACGGTTCAATAGGACTGACTGCAGGACTAAAGAGAATGACCTGCTCAAGTCACTCCAAATTTAGTCCCTGCGCCCATGTCTGCCCAGGCGCTCCCAGCCGACGTGGCCAGGAGCACCTAGGACATGACGAGGACGACTACCAATCGTATTGCACCGTCTGCTGCCAGAAGGCAATGGGTTGCTGCTACTATGCAGCAAAGCCGTACCGCGTCTGCCAGCACCCAGGAGACATAGGGTGACGGTTACCTGAGCTGGCTCCATGCTTGCCGTGGTATGGCGTCTGCACAGGGAACTCAGGAAAAAAGGCGCGAAATGATTGTCTGCCTTTGCTTTCACGGAGGGAGGGAGGGAATGGGGGCCTGACGACACGTACCCAGAACCACCCGCGACAATGTTTTAGCCCCATCAGAATGCTCCATTGTGACTGCTCTGGACAGCACTCTCAGATGCCCGATTGTTTGCCATTGCTCTGACGCTGGGAGGGGCGCTTACAGGGTTAGCTTCAGGGAGCTAAAATCAACAAAGGGGGTGGCTTTACATCAAGGAGTATTTCAGGCAGGACTTCACGGAGGGTTCCAATAAGAAATGGTGCACCTAAGTTATTGTCCTTATTGGAACAAGAAGGTTAGCCTGGCCTCTGATTGATACATGGCTAGATTTACCTCGCTGCACCTTCTCTGTAAGTGACTGCAGTGTGATCTAGAAGAATGAGTCCTCTAGACAGGGGAGGGGGGGAAGCAAATGAGTACAAAACAAATCTGGTCTATTTCTTGTTTTGATCCACTCCATCTATCTTTTACATCTTTGGCTGGCAGCAGACGGTGCAGAAGGACTGCATGCCATCCACATCTCATGGCTGCTCGGCAGAAGATGGTACAGTACGACTGCTAGCAGTCCGTATCGCCTGCCTGCTCACCATAAGACGGTTCAATTGGACTGACTGCAGGACTAAAGAGAATGACCTGGTCAAGTCACTCCAAATTTAGTCCCTGCGCCCATGTCTGCCCAGGCGCTCCTGATCGACCTCACAGAGGCGTCCAGGAGCACCTCAGACATGACGATGACGGCTACCAGTCGTACTGTACCGTCTGCTGCCACAAGGCAAGGGGTTGCTGCTACTGTGTAGCAATGCCGTACCGCGTCTGCCAGCACCCAGGAGACATAGGGTGACGGTTACCTGAGCGGGCTCCATGCTTGCCGTGGTATGGCGTCTGCACAGGTAACTCAGGAAAAAAGGCACGAAATGATTGTCTGCCCTTGCTTTCACAGGGGGAGGGAGGGAACGGGGGGCTGACGATATGTACCCAGAACCACCCGCGACAATGTTTTAGCCCCATCAGGCATTGGGATCTCAACCCAGAATTCCAATGGGCAGCGGAGACTGCGGGAACTGTGGGATAGCTACCCACAGTGCAACGCTCCGGAAGTCGACGCTTGCCTCGGTACTGTGGAAGCGCTCCGCCGAGTTAATGCACTTAATGCACTTAGAGCATTTTCTGTGGGGACACACACACTCGAATATATAAAACCGATTTCTAAAAAAATGACTTCTATAAATTCGACCTAATTTCGTAGTGTAGACATACCCTTAGTGTCATTCTAAATTTAACAGCCTTGGAAGGACGATGATTAGCTGATGTATGAGTTTGATGAAGAGTCCTAATTTATGCACACAGTTTTCAAACTGCCAACACTGAAACGGGAAACATAAGCCTTTCACAAGTGTGATAACGACTCAAAATTAGAGCACAACACAACACTGCAGAGGATGGAGCGCGAAATTATGTGGGGTTAGTTTCTACAAAACATGTATAGTACTTCAATATAAAACATTAGGTTCACTGATGAGCATTTCTGTTGTCATTAGTTTGCTTCAATGAAAAGTGAGATACTACCATCAGGTACATCAAAAATGGAGGACTGATTTCCATCATCATTAGGTCTGCTACCCTGGCCAACAATCTGATCTCCTTGCTCACCTATTACTATTTACTTTTTCTATTAGGATAGTGCCCCAAACATGCAAAACACTGTCCACAGACAAGAACACATTCATTGTCCCACAGTTTCTGGCTCCAATTCTTAAAGGCACTGCTTAAGCACATCCTTAAAAAGTAAGCATGTGCTCAAATGCTTTCTTGAATCAGTGCTCAAGATGACATGCATGACACAGAATTGGGAACAGTATAAAAACTTAACAAAAGGGCAAAAGGTTATTAGTTAGCAACAAATCCCAGAGAGCTAGATTCAGATTCACTTATTGATGCTGAATATTACTTACCCCACTTAATAGTACCATGGGGCCACTGGTGTAATAAGGAACTACTCCATGTAAGCAAGGGGTGACAATCTGCTCCAAGCAAATCCCATTCCTTCACCATACTGAGTGGATCATGTTTAAAAACAGGCTTCGAACTATGGTTTTAGAGTCAGAATTTAAGCCCAGAAGGGACCACCACATCATCTAGCCTGACCGCCTGTATATCACAGGCCACCAATACCCAGCACATGCATGCTAAATACAACTGCCAAATTATTACAGTCCTCAAGAGATTAAACTACTGTGTGCCACAGGCAAAAAACAGGTGGAACCAAGGTGCACCAAAGCCCAAGTCCCCTGCAAAGGCAGGGATTTGATTAAGTAAGATATACCAGATGTTGCCAGCAAGTTGCCTGCACCATATGCTGCAGAGGAAAGCAAAAGACCCCCAAGGTCACTGCTAATCTGACCGAAGGAAAAATTTCTTCTGAACCCCAATAAGAGATCAGTTGGACACTGGGGATCCTGACCCCTGCTGGTAACTAGTAGAAACATGAAATTACAGGAACAGTAAACATGAACCAGAAGATTTGCTATTATACACACATGTTCCCTCCATCAGTTAACTGGGTCATTAGAATCTCTCAAGTTCCAGATCCAGTTGGTGTAAAAAGATGTAGCTCCATAATGCTGTTTACACCAGCTGAAGATCTGGCCCGATGTGTCATACCATCTTTATTTTCCGTCTTCTACCATCTTTACTTTCCATGTAGGTCTCTTATATGGAATTCCAATGGTCAATTCTTCCCACTTACTCTTATTGCCTTAGTATTCTAATCAATACCATCTTATTGA